ATAGTTTTATGGATTTAAGTCCTTGATCCATTTTTTTTTTTTACTTTTTATTTTATATTGGAGTATAGCTGATTAACAGTGTTGTGATAGTTTCAGGTGCACAACAAAGGGACTCAGCCATACATATACATGTATCCATTCTCCCCCCAACTCCCCTCCCATCCAGGCTGCCACATAACATTGAGCAGAGTTCCCTCCTTGATCCATTTTGAGTTTTTTTTTTTTTTTAATAAAGTGTGAGACTTAGGTCAAGGTTTATTTTTTTTATCTGTGGATGTCTACTTGCTCCAGTTCCATTTATTGAAAAGGCTGTATTTTCTCTATTGAATTGCTTTTGTACGTTTGTCAGAAGTCAGTTGGGCATATTCATGCTGGTCTATTTCTGGGTTCTCTTGTCTGTTTCCAAATCTATAATCTGTTCTCAGATCTATATGTCTGTCCCTCCCCTGATACCATATAGTCTTGATAAGTTTTAATAATTGAGTTGACTGATTAATAATAACAAGTCTTAATAATTGAGTTGACTGATTCCTCTTGCTCTTTTCTCTTTCAAAATTGTTTTAACTATTCTAGTTCCTTTGTCTTTCCATTTAAATTTATGAATAATCTTGTCCATATCCACAAAAAATCTTTGCTGGGGTTTTGACAGGAATTGAGTTAAACCTGTATATCAATTTGGGGAGAATTGACATCTTTACTATATTGAGTCTAACAGCCCATGAATCCATTCATTTACATTTTTGATATTTTTCATCATGATTTTGTATTTCTAGCATACAAGCCTTGTATATGTTTTGTTAGATTTATATCAGAATATTTCATTTTTTGGAGCATTTGTGAGTCATATTGTATTGTAAATTACAGTGCCCATGTATTCATTGGTAGAATATATAAATACAGTTGCTTTTGTGTGTTTATCTTGTATCCTGCACTTTGCTGAATTCACTTATATGTTGGAGATTTTGTCAGTTCTTTGGGATTTTCCACATAGATAGCTGTGTCATCTACAAATAGGGACAGTTTTATTTTTTCCTTTTGAATCGGTATGTCTTTTATTTCCTTACCTTCTCTTACTTCACAGGCTAGAACTTCCAGCATTATCTTTAATAAGAGTGGTGAAGGTAGACATCCTTGCTTTGTTCTCAGTCTTAGGAGGAAAGCATATAGTATTTTACTATTAAATAAAATGTTATCTGTAGAGTTTTTGTAGATGCTCTTAATCAAGTTGAGGAAGTTCTCTTATATTCCTATTTTTTGGGTACCTTTTATCATGAATGGGTGTTGAATTTTGTCACTTTTTTTCTTCGTTCATTGATACAATTGTGGTTTTTCTTCATTAGCCTGTTAATATGGGTGGGATACTGATTTTTAAACATTGAGCCAGCCTTGTATCCCTGGAATAAACCTCGCTTAATCATGGTATATAATTGTTTTAAAATAAATTGCTGAATTCTATTTGTAATATTTTATTAAGGATTTTTATGTCTGTATTTGGGAAGTATATGGGTTTGCAGGTTTTTTTTTTTTTTTTAAACTGGCTTTGTCTGAGTTTGGTGTCAGGATAACAGTACTGGCTTCATGAAGTGAATCAAGAAGGTTCCCTCTTCCATTTTTGGAAGAGATTATATAGGGTTAGTTAATTCTTCTTAAAAATGTTTGGTAAACTTCTCCATTGACGGTATTTGGGCCTGGAGTTTCTTTTTTGGGAATTTGTAAATTGTGAATTAAATTTCATTAAAAATCATAGAGCTTTTATCTATTTCCTGTTGGGTGAGTTTGATAATTTGTGGTGTTTGAGAAATAAGTCTATTTCATAGAAGATGTCAAACTTTCACATGTACATTTGTTTATAATATTCCCTTATTAGTCTTTTTTTTTTTTTTTTCCGGTACGCGGGCCTCTCACTGTTGTGGCCTCTCCCGTTGCGGAGCACAGGCTCCGGACGTGCAAGCTCAGCGGCCATGGCTCACGGGCCTAGCTGCTCCGCGGCATGTGGGATCTTCCCGGACCGGGGCATGAACCTGTGTCCCCTGCATTGGCAGGCGGACTCTCAACCACTGCGTCACCAGGGAAGCCCCCTTATTAGTCTTTTGATGTCTGCAGGGTCTGTAGTGATTGTTTTTCTGTTTTTAGTTTTATTTATTTCTTCTCTGATCTTTATTATTCCCTTTTTCCTACTGGCTTTGGGTTTATTTTTCTCTTCTTTTTCTACGTTCTTGTGATGGGGGCTTAGATTGTTGATTTGAGACTTTTCCTCTTTTCTAATGTATGCATTTAGTTATAAATTTGCTATAAATTTCTGCCATTGCTGCTTCAGCTGTGTCCTGCAAATTTTGATATCGTATATTTTATTTTTATTCATTTCCGTGTTTTTTAAATTTTTCCTTGAGACTTCCTCTTTGACCCATGAACTATTTAGTGTATTGCTTATGTTCCAAGTGTTTGGAGATTTTCCTGTTATCTTTTTGTTATTGATTTCTAGTTTGATTACATTGTGGTCAGAGAACATACTTTATATGATTTCAGTTCTTTTAAGTTTGTTGAGGTTTGTTTTATAGCCTAGGGTATGGTCTATTTTGGTATATGTTCTTTGGGCACTTGAAAAGGTTGTGTATTCTGCTGTTGTTGAATGTAGTGTTCTATAAATGTTGATTAGATCCTTAAAGGATGGTGTTATTGAGTGCTTCGGTATCCTTGCTGACCTTCTGTCTATTTACTCTTATTGAGAGAGGGGTATTGTAGTCTCTAACTATAATTCTGAGCTTGTCTCTTTCTCCTTTCAATTTTGTCAGTTTTTGCTTCACTTACTTAGTGGCTCTGTTGTTTGATGCATACACATTTAGAGTTGCTACGTGTTCTTGGTAGACTGATCCTTTATGATTATATAATGTCCTCTATTTCTGCTGATAGTTTTTTTGCTCTGAACTCTACTTTATCTGATATTAATATATAAAAATGTAATTTTATTTAATTTTAATTAATTTAAATTTAAATAGGCTCATGTGGCTGGTGGCTGCCATATTGACATTGCAGTCCTGGAAGATGGAGAGAGCTATGACACAATAAATTTGATTAAAAGGTAAATTTTATAGTATGTTAGAAGGTGTTAAGGGCAATGGGTGGTTAGCAGGAAAGGGAAATTGGGGCAGAGAAAGTGGGTGATATGACTTTAAATTGGGTAATCAAGGAAGAAATCATTGAATGTGACACTTGGGCCAAGATTTGCAGGAGTAAGAGAGTTAGCAATGCAAATATCTTGGGGAAAAGTATATTAAAGGCCAAGAGGGAGGCGGGCCATAGTAAGAACTTTAGCTTTTACTCTGATTGACATGGAGAGCCACGTGAGAATTTAAGGCAGACCCTGATTCATTCTGACTCATATGTTGTATGAAGATCATTCTGGCTGGTGTGTTGAAAGTAGACTGTAGGGGACAAAGGGTGGAAACAGGGAGACCATTTAGGAGACAGGAATACAGGTGAAAGATGACAGTAGCCAGACCAAATGGTTAGAGCAGGTTTTTGAGAAAATATCAGACATTTGGTTTTAGATGTGTTACATTTGAATTGTTTATTAAATAGATCCAAGTGGAGAAAGCAAGTAGATTGTCAGAGTTCTCCAGATCTATCAGTCCCTGCCCTTGTGGAGCTTACATTTTACTAGAATATGGGTAGTAAATACAATACATAAATAAAACAAATGGATAAAACATACACTATGTTAGAAGGTAAATCTTAGGGAGAAAATTCAAATAAGGAGAAAGGGATAAGTGGTGTTGGGCGACTGACTTGCTGAGAAGGTAACAACTGAGTAATGATAGGACTAATGATAGGAGGAAATACATCTTTTAGATACCTGGGATAATATTAGTTTAGGTAGAAGGGACCAAATATAAAGATTCTGAGATGGGAGCATGGCTGATATTTGAAGAAGAAGGAGGCGAAGTATGGCTGGGGGGGCATGAGCAAGGGGAAGAGG